CGTCGACATATAGAATAGTGTGCAGTTTCGTGGTCACTTGGAAGGGAAGGCCAAATTGGCCTCTAAAAAGCTTGGCGTAGTATTTCATATCGGCACATCGCTTGCAACTTTACAAAGCGCAAGTTCGGCCCCACATGGAATACTGTTCTCATCTCTGGGCCGGGGCACCCCAGTGCCAGCTCCTTCCACTTGACCGCATCCAGCGCAGTGCGGTTCGAATCGTCGACGACCGAGTTCTTTCTGATCGGCTCGATACACTGCACTGCGTAGAGATGTTGCATCTCTTTGCGTATTTTATCGCATCTATCATGGGGAATGCTCTGAGGAATTGTTCAGACTAATTCCAGCCGCTCAATTTCACCATCGCACATCGCGACAAAACTCGCGTTACCATCCATACCATCTGGATGATTGGCGGTCCACCACTGTGCGATTTAGAAGAAGTTTTCTCCCTCGCACAACTTCCTTGTGGAATCAATTACCTCCAGCGAATTTCCCGGACTGATACGAATTAGGAACCTTGAAGAAAAGAGCTTACACCTTTCTAAAAGGCCGGAAACGCATCTGCAATTCCCCTGGTGTTGCGGTTGTTCATAGGCGGCGGTAGTCACTTACCATCAGGTGAGCCGCATGCTCGTTTGCCCCCTCTCCTATAAAAAAAAGAAAAAAAAAAAAGAGCAGCGTTGGTGTAAATGAGATACTTACACCAACTCAAAATAACAAAAATGTCACCAAGCCCTCTTCACTATTGAAAATTGGATGTTTTTTAATTTCTATCGCCGTGTGGTTCACCTTTTAAATAATTGTTTGTGTGAGTTATTTTTCCAATATAGGATCTAAATCCTATAGCAAATCTAAGAAATGATTTGCCTCTAACTCAATTGTGAATTATATTTTAGAGTTTATGGCGTTAAGGTTGTCTAAAAATGCAGTCACTTTGTCTGATGGTACAACCGAAGTTGTATCGTTTAATTAATATACACAAGCCAAACGCTCCACAACGTCTAATATAGAGCCAGATTGTTTCACCATTCAACACTTGCCAAAAGTATTGTTACCGCTAAGAGGACACACATGAGCACACACAAAGGATTCGTAACATTTTATTAGTGAGATAAAAGACCTAAGGTTTCATTACACTGACTTAATATTTTGAATTATTAATTACACTTTTACTTTTTTTATAGTTTAGGGTGACAAACGAGCACACAGTCCACCTGATGGTAAGTGGTTGCTGTGACCCATAGACATCTACATCAATCCTCAGTAAAGAATCAAAATGTAGATTATGCTATGGCACCCTCACACCGTGAGGACTAAGATGGAATGCCTCATTTCCAGTAAAAAGGATCTCAGGTTCCCTTCACTCAACATACGACACACAGCAGTGCTATTTAACGCGGGTATTCTGTGAGAGCGTGTTCCTTCCCCGATCAAGCCAACTTATTCGTGCTACAAGTATATACTAATATAGCTGCAGCATGGCTCTGCCACGTATAAAACTGTTTACTGTATATTTGATTTTTTTTAACTTATTATAAGTCCGCGCTTGACTACACTCACACCTGGTAATGATTGGTGACGAAACCCTAGATGGTAAATCGCAATGTCTTCAAAAGTCTGTTTTTCTTGCCTTGATGACGTTCAGATTGTAATCAGACGGAAAGACAGACGCCGGTAGACACCGGAAAACGCCGCCAAATTATACCACTTTTTTGTTGTACGCATCACGAAAGACAAAGCAAACAGTTCGATTCGAACACTTGTTTGCTGAATGTTAAACCACATATTGACAATAAAGGGGTGTGCGTTGTCCTTGCGGGTACTTTGACCCTGCACTGAACGAACTGCCCATCGTTAGTTCGGAGAAATTTTTGCTCACAATGTTCTAAACTTACTGAAAATCATCGCTAGAACATTCCATTTTGAACACATTATTTTTGCTTATTCAAAATACTTAGTTTATTGTATTTAATGACATTTAGTTATTTTTACAGCGAAGTCTAATTAAATAATATGTCAATGTTACCGGAAAGAACGTGAGTAATTTCCGTATGAAGAAGGTAGGTCATTGACTAACCTTCTGCTGTAATTTGTTAGCTCCTAAAGAACTTTCGAATGTAAATAAATTATATTTAACCGGAAAGATTTTTAAGCAATAAGTCATCAATATTTGTATTTTTTTTTATTATATAGGGATATAGGGATAACGTTTTGAGTTTTGCGTTTTGATTCCGTAACGAGCGCTAAATGTGTCTACGGGCAACAATTTTTATCAGGTGGATAGTGACACTCACGCCTGTCACCCAGAGGGTAGGACTTCCATTTGGCACGATCCTGGCACACCTCTCTCGCCTCCTTTACATCCATACATATCTACTCATACACGCTCGTCGGTTAAGGGTACTCCTAATCTGGCCCATTTTCAATGTATCGCCGATTTGGCCGATAAATCTTCGTCTAGGGCGTCCCTTCTCGACTCTGCCGTTCACTTCTGCAACATAAAGTTGCTTTGTCACTCTTTCCTCGTTCATTCTTTCTACATGACCAAACCACCGAAGCATTCCTTTCTTAATCCTGGTCACAACGTCAACTTGCAAACCACACTTTTCTCTTATCACACTATTTCTCACCCTGTCATTCAGATTCAGCCCTAACATACTCCTTAATGACCGCATTTCTACAGCATTTATTCTACTCTCATGCCTTTTCTGCCAGACCCAACTTTCACTACCATACATTAAAGTAGGGACTAACATAGCATTATGAATTGCCATACGTGTCTTATTTGACTCATTCTGATTCTTCACAATAGTGTGTAGAGCCCCATTCATTCTATTTTTAATATATAAATAAATAACAACATAAACAAATTAAAAATAAAATTGTATCAATTAAAGAAGTACAATTATTTCACTTTTATATTCAGTAAGTTTATAGTTTATTTCATGAATAACCTTTACTTGACTATTGAAAAATCTTCCACTATTTGTATAAAATAGTAAATTATCATAGGATTATCCGAGGTCCGAAGAGAGGGGGAGGACACGGTAATCCTCGAATCCGGCAACTGGCTCTATCATCTGTCCCAAGGAAGTGTAGGATTTATCGTCCACAAGTCTCTCGTTAACAACATTGTAAAGATTGGGAGTGTGTCGACGAGTGTTGCGTACCTTATACTCAGAATCACCAAATGGTATTCGCTGAAACCCGACAACTTTCCAAGAACTCCCGAACAAGCCGGTTTCCGAAAAGGCTTCAGCACCATAGACCACATACATACCCTTCGGCAATTTGTACAGAAGTCCGAGGAGTAAAAAGTGGCACTATGTCTGACGTATGTGGACTATGAGTAAGTCTTTGATTTCGTCGAAATTTGGGCGGTGCTGCAGTCCTTTCAGCGGTTTCAAGTTGACTGTCAGTATATCGAAGTGCTTGTACAGTAGGGCTACGATGACTATCCGAGTACAGAACCAGAGTACGAAACCTATCCAACTGCAGAGAGGTGTAAGACAGGGTGACGTCATATCCCCGAAACTATTCACCGCTGCATTGGAAAACGTTTTCAAGCTTCTGGACTGGAAAGGATAAGGTATTAACATCAATGGCGAGTACATCACTCATCTTCGATTTGCCGACGATATAGTCCTTATGGCAGAATCGCTGGAGGAGCGTGGTAGAGCCATGCTGCAGCTATATTATGGTTGTAGCACGAATGGTCACGTCACTCTGGTTCTACTGCGGATATCATCATTTCTAAGTTTATCACGCAAAGAAACTCCGATCATAGCCCTCTCCATAGCTCGCTGAGCGACCTTGAGCTTCCTCATCCAGCCAGCAGTGAAAGACCACGTCTCAGTTCCATAGATCATCACTGGCAACACGCACTGGTTCTACAGTCTCGTTTCCCATTAACACCGGGTTTTGGAGGAATGCATGGCTATAGAAATATCCTCATACATTTCCTCCACCTCCTCATCGGGGTGTGCCGAGGTTGGTGCGTAAACCTGTAAGACCTTCAGCGAATACCATTTGGTGATTCTGAGTATAAGGTACGCAACCCTCGTCGACACACTCCCAATCTTTACAATGTTGTTAACGAGAGACTTGTGGACGATAAATCCTACACCTCCTTGGGACAGATGGTCACCCTCCCGGTGATAGAACAAGTTGCCGGATTCGAGGATTACCGTGTCCTCCCCCTCTCTTCGGACTACTGTTTGGATGCCTATTTTTTTCACTATATGCGATTGAGTTGATCAATGATTAAAGAACAACGGCAGAAAAATAGTTGACAAAAATGTTTGCGTCTAGAGATAAGTTTCAGCAAAATTTCATTGAAATCAGTTCAGTAGTTTAGGACTTCTTAGGACTTCATCGCGGACAAACAACGTTATACGTAATTTTTATATATAAAGATATATATATATATATATAAAATGAGTTTTATTATTTTTTTAAAATTTTCAATTAAAAATGGTAGCCACTAAGGCTTATGGTGAAGATGAAATGAAGAACCACGTTTTTTATGTAAAAATAGCAATTAATCGATTTAAAAAAAATGATAAGTTCAACAATCATTTATTCTACGGACTTCAAAAAGGAGACGGTACTCAACTCGTCTGTATGATTTTTTTCTTTTTTTTATGTGTTACCTCTTAACTTTTTTCTGGGTGAACCGATTTTGATAATTATTTTTTATTTGAAAGCTAATGTTTCATATGTGTTCCTATAAATTTGATTAAGGTTTGACCAATAGTTTTCGAGTTATTCTTAATAATTTATATTGAAGTCGGTTGTACAAAATTTTTAATATTTAATTATCTTTCTGATAATGTGTGTTTTATATAATTTATATGTTCAAAATGATTGTTAGATACGATTTCATGCGACAAAACGTTGGAATCTTGATTTTTGAGCACTTAAGGCATGCAATTGAGTAAGCTGCACGCAAATACATTATATTATTATATTTAACGGTTCAACTATTTTCTTTTTAGGATTATTCAACGCAAATATTGAAGCACTACAATAGAACGGTAGTACATCGAGGCGTGTGCGTGTCACAGTGCGGATCCGTGAACAGTGATGGCGACTGGCGTGATGCAGCACAGCTTTGCGTCAACCAGAGTGTGCTTCAGTATGGACTTGAGGTGGGACAATATTTAAATTTAACTTTTTTTTTATAGAATCAGGGTGGGAAACGAGCTCACAGGCCACCTGATTGTAAGTGGATGCTGTGGCTCATAGACATCTACATATATCCTATCATATTTATATTAATTATGAATCCACGTCCAATTAATTATGTCAAGAACACAGCGCTTAAACTTATTATTTCATATTTAAGTAATAGAAAACAGAAGGTTATTATCAATGGTAAAAGTTCTTCTGGGTCACCTGTACTAATGGGTGTACCTCAGGGCTCGATTCTCGGCCCATTCCTGTTTCTGGTGTATATTAATGACTTACCTCACCTTGTAGGGGATAGTCATGATATAGTATTATTTGCTGATGATACTTCCTTGATTTTTAAACTTAAACGTCAATCATTTAAATGTGACGAAGTGAATAATGCTATATCAAAATTAGTGCATTGGTTTAACGTTAATAATCTGCATTTGAACGGAAATAAAACTAATTGTGTTAAATTTACAACAACGAATGTTCAAAATCTGAATACCAATGTGTTTTTAAATGGGGAGGAATTGAGCCCTGTTGTATCCACTGTTTTTCTTGGCATCACTCTTGACGCAAAGCTCCAGTGGGGCCCCCATATATCCAAATTAGCATGCAGACTAAGTTCTGCAGCCTATGCTGTAAAAAAGATTAGAGGTCTCACTAGTGTCGAGACAGCTAGATTAGTTTATTTTAGTTATTTTCATAGCATAATGTCTTATGGGATTTTGCTATGGGGAAATGCGGCTGATTCAGAAACTATTTTTGTTTTACAGAAGAGGGCCATTAGAGCTATTTACAATCTAAAACCGAGAGAGTCTCTTAGAGATAAATTTAAAGAAATTAATATATTAACTTTAGCCTCTCAGTATATTTACGAAAATTTAATGTATGTTCACAAAAACAAAGATAGTTTTAGTAAAAGAAGTGATATACATTCTGTAAACACTAGGAACAAACACAAGCTAGTGATACCAGTTTCTCGTCTCCACAGAGTCAGTAATTCATTCTTGGGGCAATGTATACGCTATTACAACAAGGTCCCGGAAAGTGTACAGGTTCTCTCTATTACCAAGTTTAAATGTTTTATTAAGCTGAAACTGTATAAAAAGGGTTATTATAGTATAAATGAATACATGGTTGATAATAACCCCTGGGAATGAGGTGATCGCTTCCAAGCAGTTTCTAAAATAAATTTTGTAAATAGTTCCTAATCATTTATATTGTAAAATTTATTTTAAAAAAAAAAGTCCCGCTGGGTTTCTTGCTGGTTCTTCCCAGGACAGAGGTTTTTTTCGAACCAGTGGTAAAGTAAAAAATGACTTTCAATAAGAATTACACATGTAATGTATATTGAATAAAAATATATTCTATTCTATTCTATTCTATTCTATTCTATTCTAATGAAAATGGAGAAGCGCTATCACCCTTGAAAACTAAGATGGAATACCTCGTTTCCAGTAAAAAGAGTCTCCGGTTCTCTACACTCACCATACAAAAAACAATAGCATTAAGCTGCTATTTTCCGCTGGCATTCTGAGAGAGCGGGTCAATTCAACCCATTTTTGCTAGAACTATAATATATCTGCAGCGTGGCTCTACCATGTACGTTTAACATGTAAACGTTAAACATTTAAACGTCATCCACATACTACCGTAACCTACCGTATAGAGGCGATATAGGGGAAAAACAGAAAATAGGGTCTTCCGAATAATAACAAGAAAATAAAAACTGCAGTTGCGGTGCCGCCTTACAAGCACCTAGCAACTATGGAAAATTTATCTTATGAGCCAATCTATAACTATAGTTTGTTCGCTTATATACGGTCGCTTTTGTGTCGCGCCGCCTTGGCACGTGTCGCATCTTGTCAAGGGAGCCGCCATGATGTCAAAAATCACACAGCGTGCGGGGTACGTACGCAGGAGAATTTGGCATTTTAAAACGAAGCGTTGTAATCTAACTTGTATTTATTATTTATGTTCGTATTTTATTACAATAACCACAACAATAAAATAGTATTGTATTTTATTCTTAGAATAGAAGAGCATTTATTTAACAAACACAGTAAAAATAATACAGTAAAAGCAAAATAATAAGTTCGCCTCCGGGTGTACCGACACTATCTTAGCGAACAGACTATAATGCCATCAAAAACATTACTTGTAAAAAAGTATCGCAACTCAGTTCTTCTACCGTAAAAAGTTGTGAGATCCGTGTAATACCAAGTCAGTTAATTTATTCAGTCCCTACTTAAGGGTTCTTCTGTCTCAAGTTATTACGTAATTAGCTAACCTAACCACATCGTATAGTGACCATATCAATATTAAAAATCTTTTGTGTTTTTTTTTTAATAAATAGATTGACTTGGCAAGCCTGAATTTTCAATAACCAATGGATTGACTTGGCAATCGCACTAAACAATCTAATGATCATGAAAACACAATGTATCTCACAAGTAATACATATTGTATTAAATTAGATTGTTTAGTGCGATTGCCAAGTCAATCCATTGGTTGCTGAAAATTCAGGCTTTTAGTTTTATCCACAACGAAGTTATAGGGGGTCGAAAATGGCCTGAATTTTGAGCAATATTTTTTTACTCGACTTGTGAATATTTTTTTTTATAGGATAGGATAACAAACGGGCACACAGTCCACCTGATGGGAAGTGGTTGCTGTGGCCCATAGACATCTACATCTATCCTCGCTTGCGAATCAAAATGCAGATGCGTTGTCACCTAAGGACCGAGGACTAAGATGGAATGCCTCGTTTCCAGTAAAAAGGGTCTCCGGTTCTCTACACTCACCACACGAAACACAGCAGTGTTAAGCTGCTATTTTACGTTGGTATTCTGTGAGAGCGTGGTTCTTCCCCGGTCGAGCCGACCCATTCGTGCTACAACTATACTACTAATATAGCTGCAACATGGCTCTACCACGTATAAAAATATATAAATAAATCCATATAATTTGAATTTTTTCTGTATTGTGGAGGCGTTTTACATAACTGGAACAATTAACGGTAATTCATACAAATACTTGTACTTTTGAATAAAACCTATTTTATAAATGTGTCTTGAGTTCGACTCTTACTATACAAATTAAAATGTGTAATAAACGGATTACATTATATCTAAGAAGCATTTTCAAAAACATGTGGACTAGCTGAACTATTTTTTTTTTGTAATTTGGATCTGGCTGGTGTTAGAACCAGATTACGGACAGATTCTTCTTCTTCTATTTCATCATCCCGTAAAAGTCCATTGCTGGAAGTTGGACTTTAGTCATCACGCTTGGCAGGCGGACTTTATTTTATTATCTACCTAAAGAAACAATGGAAAAATAATTTATACAAGGTAGAGCATAAGTGGGTCGACTCGACCGAGGAAAACCGTGCTCTCATAGAACACCAGCGTAAAATAGCAGTTGCTAAAGTCAGTGTCTGTGACACAATGACACTTAACGATATCTTAAATTGGAATAGCGTTTGAGTATTTGGCCATTATTCTAATGAAAAAAAAAGAATGGGGCACTTATTGTATGCACTTGAAGAAAAACACTTTCAAAGGCTGATAATATTTTATCAGGCGGAGGTGATATCAGCAGAGTGGTGCAGTTCAACGAACTCTGAGCGACCGACCAGCGCAGCGAGATTCCTTGCAGTAATCTGCATTGCATTACTAGTGCTGGCCGTATTGGCCACTTGTTTGCATATCCTGGGTGAATGCTGCACGGCTGTTGAAGGTGGGTAGGGGGTCGATTTGGCTTCAGTTTCAGATTGATATCGGATTTGGAAATCATATCGGCAGGGTGTATTAAGGTGCGGCAAGTGTACATGGGTCTAGTCTAGTCACTCGCCTGCCTTTACCGTTACAGCCTATTAAAGTCCACTGCTGAACATAGGTCTCCCCCATAGATTGCCTCATAGGGGCATATTTGCCATAGTTGCCACGTTTGGGAAACGAGTTGCGGCCTATTATATATCCTTTTTTTTCCTTCTGTCGCCTCTTACGACACCCACGGGATGATATGGGGTAGTGGATATTCTTACACCGCCACTATATGGTAACGCCTGCCTTTACTTTCTTGAATTGTTTTATAACGTATTGTTACGAGCTAGGGGTTTGAGACAAAAAAACAAAACTGCCGATTGTTATTACCAAAATTGACACTTTAATTACAGAACACTAATTACAACTTAAAACACACTAATAATGAAACACAATTGTACTACTGATGATTTTAAGTATTCGCTTGTATCGCCTTGCAATACTGACCTGGTCGCGGTCTATACCGGTCTTATATAGCTTTAGGTAGTTTCCAGAACTTTCTACTGTAGAAATTTCTAGAATGTTCTTGACTCTCCTAGTTCTGCTACTCGATACTAGATGGCGCTAGTGGTAACTATTGTCGCCACTTTATTTTTATAAGTTATTTTTTATTTATATGATTATAAGTTATTTTCTTAGTATAATATCGTATGGAATTGCTATTGCTTATTTTAAGGTTCAGTTTGGTTTGACGGATAAATTACAACAGTGGTAGAGCCACGCGGCAGCTTTTGCTGTCGCACGGATGGGCCGGCTCGAACCGGGGTGGTACCACGACCTCACAGAAAACCAGCGTGAAGTAGAGGTTCACCTCTGCGTTTCGTTTGGTGAGTGCAGGTGGCCGGAGGCCCTTTTTACTGAAAATGAGGCATTCCATCTTAGTCCTCACGGGTGGCAACGCATCTGCATTTTGATTCGCAAACGAGGATAGTTGTAGATGTCTATGGGCCGCAGCAACCACTTACCATCGAAAAAAAAAAAGCTTGTGAAACTTTAAGAAAATGAAATAGTCGCAATATAATGGTTTGTAAGAAGTCTTTTAAATTAAAATAAATTATTACGAAAATGAAAGTAATAGAAAAGATTTCTACGCTACTCCTAACACCAACTAAAACCCTGAAATTCTTCAATCCTCGAATCCGAAACATGAATCTCAACAGACAGCAACTATATTTTCTTTAGTAGAAAGCTTTGTTAGAAAGGGTCCATTAGACTTAGTTAATTTATAGTACAAAGAGTATGATACTTTTTGAAGAAATAAATAGATAGATAAGGAATAAAAAATAGTTTTCAAGTAAAAAAAGACTCATACGGGCAAGCGTAGTATACGACGGCTCTCCAGGTTCCATTCCAGATTGAATTACTACCTGGAGAAGGTTAATTAGTAAATAAAAACAGGTGGCTTTGGATATTCAAGATAACGATTGATGGTTTAAATAATTATTTTTTCAGGCAACAAATACCTTTTAGCGTTTTCTATAAAGCGTAACTGGGCAATATTGAAATACGACAGATTGAAACCTCGCACCGATGATCGTATGAAGGACCTAACTTCGATGGAAGGCATCAGGTAATCTGTAAGGATAAGTACTCTGTTGTTAAGCAAGTGTAAATATTAAATAATAGGTACCTGATTTAAAGTATAACAGTGATCTTATTTCGACTTGTCGATAAATACGAGTATCTTGTAAAATAAACATAATTTTAAGTATAATGATTATTTTTTTTTACAATAATTTAATAATCACTAAATTCCTAATATCCGCGCAATGTACTTCTTTCACGTCATTCACGTCGCGCGATGTATTTATTTTCATAATAATAAATACTGTAAAATTATAATGATAAATTTGTTCGTCAATGAACAACTATTTTAATAAAAAAATTGTCCGCAACTGTTTGACATAACTCGTAAGTAATGAGGGCATCCACGACTTTTTCTGCCACCATGGCGGCGCCACTAGAAAGTAAGGTATAAATGACAGATTTCATAGCGGGGAAGTTAATTTATACAGAAAATGTAAAGGTTCTGTACTATTTCTATATTTTATGTAAATAAGATTAAAAATAAGTAAACCAATCCACAGATATTCATAAAAGTAGAAAAATTAAAAAAAGTTAAAAATGTGCAAAAAATTAGAGAGCAAACCACTGACGCATTGTTTTCTATATTAATATAATACTCTAGAAACTGATAAAGTTTTATTAAAACAAACTTCTCAATTAATTGGCTTTTGTTAATTGATGGTATTTGTAAAATTATTACATAAATTTTGTTATTGTTTTAATTTTTTATTTTCTTTTGTTTAAATGCACATAGTTAATACATTTCAGTTTTATACAGCTTACCTTTGTTTTTATAGTTTTCTTTCTGTTTATGTTCAAATACTTAAAGCAATAAGCAATTCTGTTATTGTTGTTTTGTGTAATACAATCTGTCTGATGAGGTGTATAAAATAGCGCTTAATGAACTATGGTCTCAGGTTTCCTCGATACAGGCCTAGTGAGGAAACTAACAGATATTACCTATTGTATTATTTTTCTTATTGCTAATAAAACATTTTTAATTTTTTCAAATAACTTTGTATAACAAAAAACTTTACCTCAGTGTCAACTAGCGACATCTGGTGAGCAGAAAATTATTAGCCTTCATTAAAACAAGTCCATTACAAAAAAAAATAAAGAAGAGTGGTGCTATCTTAATGAATTAAAACCAGTTTTACCATTAAGTGCGTTTTAATAAATTTCATAAAAATAATGTTACTTATATTTAAAAAAATACATTTAACAAATATTTACCTTCATTGGAAAACAAATTATGACTAAGAGCTAATTTCCCAATCGTCGAATAAACGCCATTCATAGACGAAGACTTAGGAATATACTGGCGTAATATGCTATGTTCATAGGATAAAATACAACATAAACAAAATAAAAGTTAGTTGTATGAGTAAAACAGTTAAATTATATCACTTTTATATTTAGTCAGGTTTATAATTAATTTGATGGATAACTTTTATCTGAATATTGGAAAATCAGCTGATGAGGCACGAATTATAATTTTTATAAATGTTTGTACTTTGTTAGGACGCTGTTAATATGGATTATATGTGATTCGGCATGCTCTTTACCAGACTGCATACCAATAAACAAAGTAGTATAAACATTAATAATTTATTCATCCATAAACATACGCACTAGCGTATGTTTCTTGTCGAAGTAACACTCAAAATCAAATTGAAGTGATTATCAATGACAAAAGATCTCCCAGGTCGCCTGTGTTAATCAATGAACGTTCCACTGGACTTTATTCTTGGTCCATTATTGTTCCTTGTTTATATTAATGATTGACCTTACCTTGTAGGGGATAAAAATTATTTCGTATTATTTGTTGATGACACTTTATTGATTTTCCAATTTAAACGGCAATTGGGAAGTGAAGAATTCTATATCGAATTTAGTTCATTGGTTTAAAACCAATAATTCACATTAATACGGAAATAAAACTAAATGATCTGAATATTAATTTGTTTCTGAATGGGGAAGGAACGAGTCTGTCGATTCCACTATTATCTAGGAGTTAATTACTTTTGACGCAAAACTTCAGTGCGGCTTTCATGTATCTAAATTAACAAAATCTCTGCAGCGGTTACAATTATATCCTATTAAAAGTAGTAGGCGGGTCGGCAACCGCAAATCTTTGCAGCATAATATGGTGCAAAAAGTCAAAGACTGAATATAAATTTATTATTTTTCTACATTCACTTGGGTTTACTTTACAATTAATATGTTTGACTTCGTTTTTTTTTCCAGATTTATAGGAATACAGTGCGTTATTTTTTCGCACGTTTTATTGGTATATGTTTATTCCTATATTGACAACCCACAGTTTGTCGAAAAAGTAAGTTGTTTATTTTTTATTTCAAAAAAATATTCCCTACGAACACTCTCGTTAACCTATTACTTTACCTCGTGATTTTGATAACATATGTAATAATATTGGGCAAGTCAGATTTAAGTACCTAAATTGAAATACAATTTTTTTGCTAAAATAATACAATATTCTTCCAAAAGGTACATGGCGGATTGACGATAGCAGTAACACACCTCATACCTTTGACGCTGCTGTCCATCGCCACTCTCAGTGTATTTAGCCTGGTGCTTACGACCCGGTTTTACCACCCTCTGTCGGAAGCCATAAGATTTATCTGGTATTTCCCATAGATGCCTCTCACGATACAAAAGGGGCAAAATGAGTTTAGGTTTCTCTTACGCTAGTACCTCACAGCATAGTTATCTTAGAAATATTATTTTACTTATAATATCCATACTTTAATCGCCATCAACTTTAACAACACATTTCCCTTTCAGATGTACGATCATTTCGTTTGGAAGATGGTTTTGAATTCACCTCTCTGGCTCCAAGCTTTCTTCTCTCTATCCGGTTTCCTCACTGCTTATTCAGTGCTCATTTGCTCGGAAAGAAGCCCCCTGACATTTGGAAAGTGTTTGCTATCTATTGTTAATAGATGGATCAGGTAATACTTATCTACAGGAGTTTAAGAAAACGTATCTTTTTAACGCTACAGATGAGTCAACTGTCAATTAACATAACAATCTAGAAAGTGGCTACTTAAGTTTATGAAGTCCTGCAACCAACTTAAATAAGGTTACTTATCCGTTGTTACCCCCAAAGACTAAGGTGAAGTGCCTTGCAACCTTTACTTGGCGAGTTTACTTGAACTTGCAACGAAACTTTTCCGTACTTGTTTACTCATTAATTGGTTTTCTTCTCTGATGATAACCCATGTTGATCTGGGACCTATATGTCCTACGTGTATGGGCTTATTAATAAGCTTGAGCACCGTCTTAATAACTGTATTCTGAAGTTCTTAATCTGAAGATTTGTAGAAGATCGAAGTACTGTCATGATTGGAGGTTGAAGGTAAGAAACCGATAAACTTCTTTAAGTGCACCTTTGTTGGATATTAAGCCGTTTAAAAGCGAATAAGAAATAAATCTAATACAGTTATTATGAAGGTGCTCAAGTTTATTGGGAAGATTTTGGTGTAAGTCTGACACAAACACAACTTGACAAGTATTGCTTGACATTTAGAAGTATTTACTAAAATATTTGGATGTAAAATCACTGTATTTATCTTCGAATATACAGACTTTTTATTTTATTTTAAACGTTCTAGTAATTCGATGTGTGATGTGTTGTATATCTATATGCTCATCATGCGTACAGCAAAGAAGTGGAATAAGTTGCCAGCATCTGTGTTTCCATCCGAGTATAATGTGTGGGTATTCAAGGAAAGAGTGAATAGGCTTTTGTTAAGTCTGTGTGCTTCACCATCTTAGGCTAAATCACCACTTACCATCAGGTGGGATTGTAGTTAAGCGCTGGCTTAGAACAATATAAAAAAATGTGTGATGTGAACTAGTCGGACCAAGTTAAGCTAAAAAATATGGGTTTAGATGAATCCATCACTCTACTTCTTTCCGTGGATATTGTATAAAGTAACTGTGGGAAACGCCAGATAATCTTATGGCTACCAACAGATGGCGGTGTAACCAACCTTTTTACGCTAGATGTAAATACCCTGACCGTTGACGGAGAGCGGCGTCAAAAGTACGAGACGTCAAACCGCCTGCCAAGTGTGACGGTTAAGCCATATTATCTTAATCGTCAAGCTCTGCGATAGGAGAGGCCATGTCTAGCAGTTGACTTCTACAGGCTGATGAAGAGGAATAAGAAGAAGGAAATAATTACCGACACGGACTAGAAAAAAAAGAAAGACTCAGCACCACGCATATCTCAGAGAAGCACCGTACCTATCTATGTGTGCGTAAATAAGTCTATGAATTTAATCAACCAGTTAAATTCATAGATTTAGAATATAGTGGCGTAGAAGTCAATAAAAGTGTGGCAGCGTCGAGTAAGATTGAGAGGTTCTATGGGCAGCTGTAAACATCATTGTTGGAGCTACACGCAAGTGTGAATAACGATCCAAGATCAAGTCTTATCCAATACTATTCTGATGATATTCCGGACGTCAGTCTGAGCGAGATTAGAATGGCTCTCCAGCACATTAAAAACAGCAAGGCCCCAGGTGAGGATGGAATTACAGCGGAGCTTCTCAAAGCGGGTGGAAAACCGGTACTTGAAGTCCGTCAGAAGTTTTTTAATTCCATCCTCCATGGTAGCACTACATCAGAGGCGTGGAGCAGAAGTGCGGTGGTCTTGTTCTTTAAGAAACGCGACAACGCTCTCTTGAAGAACTACATACTGATTTCCCTTCTGAGTCCCGTCTACGTGCTGTTTTCGAGAGTCATTACGAATCGTCCCACATGCAGACTCGACGACTTTCAGCCTCCTAAACAAGCCGGTTGCCGAAAAGTCTTTAGCGCCAAAGGCCATATACATACCCTTCGGCAAATTGTACAGAAGTCCGAGGAGTACAATTTGCCACTATGTCTGGCTTATGTGGACTATAAGAAAGCCTTTGATTCCGTCTAAATTCGGGTGGCCCTGCAGACTCTTCAGCGGTGCCAAGTACAAGCACTTCGATATACTGACAGTCAGTATATCGAAGTGCTTGTATTTGTACAGTAGGACTACGATGGCTATCCGAGTACAGAACCAGAGTACGAAACATATCCAACTGCAGACAGGTGTAAGACAGGCTAACGTTATATCCCCGAAACTCCACCGCTGCATTGGAAGACGTTTTCAAGCTACTGAAGTGGAAAGGATACGGTATTAACATAGTAACGAGTACATCACTCACCTTCAATTTGCCGACGATATGCTATGCTCAATGACCTCAATAGTGCCCCCAACGGATAGGTCTTAAGATGAACATAGAAAAAAACAAAGATCATGTATAACGTCCGTGCCGTGTAGTGGCGGTCAAGAATACCACTACCCCATATCCTCCCGTGGGTGTCGTAAAAGGCGACAAAGGGAAACAGGCAGGAGATGGGCAGCAGCATCTTCCTGATAATAGCCAGACAATAAAAAAAAACTGCGGTTGCCAACCCGCTCGCCAAGCGTGGCAACTATGGCAAATACCCCCCAAATGAATAAAGTTACTAAGAGACGGCCCCCAGTCCCCGGCGGCCCCGCTATTCCTGGCTACGGTGGCGACCATGGTAACGGCGGGGCAGGGGGTGCTAAGAATCTCCGGTGGAGGTTCGGTTGCCACCTTAGGTCGAGTCGTCTAAGGTGGCAACCGAACCACCTTAGACGACTCGACCTGGCAACGTACAACGCACGCACCCTGAGGACTGACGAGAAGATCGTGGAGCTGGAAGAAGAGATAGACAAGTTGCGCTGGCATATTATAGGATTATCCGAAGTCCGTAGAGAGGGGGAGGACACGGTAATCCTCGAATCCGGCAACTTGCTCTATCACCGGGAGGGCGACCATCTGTCCCAAGGAGGTGTCGGATTTATCGTCCACAAGTCTCTCGTTAACAACGTTGTAAAGATCGGGAGTGTGTCGACGAGGGTTGCGTACCTTATACTCAGAATCACCAAACGGTATTCGCTGAAGGTCATACAGGTTTACGCACCAACCTCGGCACACCCCGATGGGGAGGTGGAGGAAATGTATGAGGATATCTCTAGAGCCATGCATTCCTCCAAAACCCAATATACGGTGTTAATGGGAGACTTCAATGCAAAACTAGGCACAAGAGAGAACGGTGAGCTGAAAGTAGGGAAATTTGGAATAGGGCAACGGAACCCAAGGGGCCAGCAGCTGGCCGACTTCATGGAGAAAGAGGGACTCTTTATGATGAACTCTTTCTTCCAGAAGCGGCCCCACAGGAAGTGGACCTGGTCGAGCCCCGACGGTTCGACAAAAAATGAGATTGACTTCATTATGACGACCAGACGACAACTGTTCAGTGATGTCTCCGTGATCGCGAGAGTGAAAACTGGTAGCGATCACCGAATGGTTAGAGGCACACTGAACCTAAACGTTAAGTTGGAGAGGTCTCGTCTAATGAAGTCAACGCTCCGTCCCCCTCGTGCTCTGTTCCAAAGTCCCGAGACCTTTCAGCTCGAGTTACAAAACCGTTTTCAGTGCCTAGAAGACTGCAATGAAGTGGACGATATGAATGACAAGCTCGTGGAAACTGTCCATGCGGTCGGAGCTAAGTTCTGCAAGACCCGCCGCAGAAGAACACAAAAACTCTCCGATCACACTCTTAATCTCATGGCTGTTAGAGCTGAAGCTACATTCTTCAACAGACTTGACAGCATACAGGCATCTGAACAGACAGATCTCGAAATGCATGCGGCGGGACTTACGCAACTTCAATACAGCTCGTATTGAAGAAGCGATCGAGCGGAACCAAGGCTCCAAAGTCTTTGCCAGAGATCTGTCTGCCAGAAAGAGCCAACTGTCAAAGCTGAAGACAGAATGTGGCAGCATCGTTTCCGGGACACCTGAGATTTTGAGTGAGATTGAGAGGTTCTATGGGCAGCTGTACACGTCATCGTTGGAGCCACACGCAAGTGTGAGTAACGATCCAAGAGCGAGTCTCATCCGACACTATTCCGAAGATATCCCGGACGTCAGTCTGAGCGAGATTAGAATGGCTCTCCAGCACCTTAAAAACGGTAAGGCCCCAGGCGAGGATGGAATTACAGCGGAGCTTCTGAAAGCGGGTGGAAGACCGGTACTTGAAGTCCTTCAGAAGCTCTTTAATTCCGTCCTCCATGGTGGCATTACACCGGAGGCGTGGAGCAGAAGTGCGGTGGTCTTGTTCTTCAAGAAAGGTGACAACGCTCTCTTGAAGAACTACAGACCGATTTCCCTTCTGAGCCGCGTCTACGTGCTGTTTTCGAGAGTCATTACGAATCGTCTCGCGCGCAGACTTGACGACTTCCAGCCTCCCGAACAAGCCGGTTTCCGAAAGGGCTTTAGCACCATAGACCACATACATACCCTTCGCCAAATTGTACAGAAGTCCGAAGAGTACAATTTGCCACTATGTCTGGCGTATGTGGACTATGAGAAAGCCTTTGATTCCGTCGAAATTTGGGCGGTGCTGCAGTCCCTTCAGCGGTGCCAAGTTGACTGTCGGTATATCGAAGTGTTGAAGTGCTTGTACAGTAGGGCTACGATGGCTATCCGAGTACAGAACCAGAGTACGAAACCTATCCAATTGCAGAGAGGTGTAAGACAGGGTGACGTCATATCCCCAAAACTCTTCACCGCTGCATTGGAAGACGTTTTCAAGCTTCTGGACTGGAAAGGATACGGTATCAACATCAATGGCGAGTACATCACTCACCTTCGATTTGCCGACGATATAGTCCTTATGGCAGAATCGCTGGAGGACCTAAGCACTATGCTCAATGACCTCGATAGTGTTTCCCAACGGATAGGTCTTAAGATGAACATGGACAAAACAAAGATCATGTTTAATGTCCATGTCACACCTATGCCGGTAGTTGTTGGGAACACTAAGCTCGAAGTTGTTGACGAGTATGTTTACCTGGGACAAATAGTCCGACTAGGTAAGTCCAACTTCGACCGAGAGGTCAATCGACGGATTCAACTCGGCTGGGCAGCGTTCGGGAAGCTACGACACATCTTCTCGTCAGACATACCTCAAAACCTGAAAACGAAATTGTACAACCAGTGCGTGTTGCCAGTAATGACTTATGGAACTGAGACGTGGTCCTTCACTGCTGGCCGTATGAGGAGGCTCAAGGTCGCTCAGCGAGCTATGGAGAGGGCTATGCTCGGAGTTTCTCTGCGTGATAAACTTAGGAATGAGGATATCCGCAGTAGAACCAGAGTAACCGACATAGCCCAACGGATTAGTAAGCTGAAGTGGCAGTGGGCCGGCCATATAGCTCGAAGAACCGACAACCGATGGGGAAGAAAGGTTCTCGAGTGGCAGCCTCGTACCGGTAGGCGAAGTGTAGGGCGTCCCCCCACGAGATGGAGTGACGACCTGGTAAGACATGCAGGAAGTCGATGGATGCAGGTGGCTCAGGACCGTGCTTTGTGGCATTCTCTGGGGGAGGCCTATGTTCAGCAGTGGACTTGTGAAGGGCTGTAATGATGATGATGATGATGTATAACGTCCGTGTCACACCTATGCCGGTAGTTGTTGGGAGCGCTAAATCCGAAGTTGTTGACGAGTATGTTTACCTGGGGCAAAAAGTCCGACTAGACGTTTGGAAAATTATGACACATCTTCTCGTCAGGTATACCTAGAAACTTGAAAACGAGATTGTACAACCAGTGCGTGTTAGTAGGCTGAAGTGGCAATGGGCCGGCCATATAGCTCGAAGAACCGACAACTTATGGGGAAAAAGGTTCTCGAGTGGCGGCCTCATACCGGCGGATGAAGTGTAGGACGTCCTCCCACTAGATGGAGTGATGACCTGGTGAGACATGCAGGAAGTCGATGGATGTAGATGGCTAAGGACCGTGTTTTGTGGCATTCCTTGGGGGAGGCCTATGTTCAGCAGTGGACTTGTGATGGGCTGTAAAGATGAAGATGAAATCTATGGTTAAATTAGTGTATTATTTGTGACATGTTATCTCTTGTCACCACTTGACACTTTTCGAATGTAGAATTATTTTTACAACATTCCATAATACAAGATATCATTATTTCATTTTTATTACTTGACGTAAACAGTACTCAAAAAGATGCCGTTGTGCCGGTCGGCACGCTATGATGTAAATGTGTGCGTGAGGCATGTTTGTACAAACGGTCCGGCATACTTAGAGTGCTTCACTTGAAATACGCGCGGCGCAGACTCCCTCTTTTTTCTAGTTTGTGATTACGGAAGCCTCATGCCTGTTAGTATCTATGTTCATTTTCCGCAGATTAACACCAATAGCAGTGTTCGCACTTTGGTTCACAATATCATGGTTCCCACTGCTGGGCTCGGGTCCACAGTGGTCGTGGCTCGTCAGGCGCGAGGCTCACGACTGTGCAGAGCGCTGGTGGTACCATGTACTCTACGTGCACAATCATTTGCCGCTTGGCAAAATGTGCATGGGACATACTTGGTAAGCTTTACGTTTATTTACAAGTAAAAATTGCATAACTTTTTTTTATAGAATTGGATAAAGTTGACAAACGAGCACACAGTCCACCTGATGATAAGTGGATGTTGAGATTCATGGACAGTTACATCTATCCTCGGTTAAGAATAAAAATGCAGTTGCGTTGTCACCCCTAAGGACAAAGACGGAATACCTCATTTCCAATGAAAAGGGTCTGCGGTTCTCTACACTAGCCTTACGATACACAGTAACAGTATGCTGCTATTTTGCGCTGGTATGCTGTCAGCGCGTGGTCTTGAACCTCGGTCGAGCCAACCCATTTGTGTTACAACCATAATATAGCTGCAGCATGGCCCTACCACGTTGAAGATCGTGGGCCTATTACCACTTTAGCTTACTGATTCTTTGGGCTATGACGCTTTGTCGGTTACTCTGGCTCTACTGTGGATATCTTCATTTTATCGCGCAGAAAAATACCAGGCATACCTTTTCATAGCTCGCTGAGCGACTATAAGTGTCCTCATATGGTCAGCGACAGACCGTCTCGTTGATCTTGTGATCATTAGCGCGACTGTTGGTCATAAGGTCCCTGGTCGGAATAAAAGAAGTTATTGGGTTTTTATGTGAAAAATTCTGTGTTCTCCGTAATCAGGAAATTGTTGGTGTTATATCTTCCTGCTTCGAAAAGCATATAAAGCCGTCGGCCCTTCGCCTCATTTCATTCTGGTCGTGTCGGATTGACGTCCCACTGAACTATAAGTGTGGGGGAATAGACTCCACACTTATAGTTCAGTGATATGTCGACATAGATGTGGTCACATTGACCGAAATTTAGCCTGAGGGACATTGTGGCCCACAGTGAAGCGCAATGTCTCACGCTTAAGCTTACTGTATTAAAATTTCAGGTACCTGGCAGCAGACATGCAGCTCCACATATTGGGAATGGTTACACTGCTGCTAATCATGCGCTGTAGAAAGATCATATCATGGGTACTGGGTTTTCTTGTGCTTGCGTCTGCCCTGGCTGCCGGTGTCGTCACTTACATCTTCGAGCTCACGCCTATCATTACAGCCCAGTCTCCTGAGTAAGATTTTTAAGAATCTGTCAATACATTTATTAATATAGCTAGGTACGGATGACTCACGAGTTGGAAGGTTACAGATCATGGATATCTGCAGCCTATTTAAAAGATAGTCGAGGGATACTCATCCCAATTTACCTGTCCGGTAGTTGTGGTATGGTATACGGGTATGCGACCCCGGCTTCCCTAGCTATTACTGTCCTATCCCGTGCCCTCCTGGACGGTAATATCCTACATTTCCTATTTCCTACCCTAACTTACTTTACTCTTCCTTTTCACACCACCTATCCTTCCCCTTTTCCTATTCCTACCCTCCGCCAATCCAACGTCTGCCGCGCGGATGGATGCATGGCTAGGGGCGAGCCTAGTCGTTAGCGTGCCACACTGCCCTGGGACCGGGCGACCCCAGAATTAGGCTAGCCTTACCCTGGCATGCGGGGCTCTGCTGGGGGGGACAAACCTTTCCCTCGCCATTCGTGGGAACGCAATGGATAGTCATAAAAATAAGTTAATTAACCAAAATGGCGGCGATGTGGTTCGCCACCCATCACGTCTCGTTTCTCGCGGGGGCGAAAAGCGGCCCACGGAGAGCCGCTTCGCTACGTTGAATGTAAGAGGAGGAATGGATGGTAAGGTAGATGAAGTATGTCAGATGATGGATGAACGATGCATTGATATTCTGTGCGTGAACGAAACCAAGAGGAAAGGATGTGACACCACGGTTCATGGCCCCTACACGGCATACTGGTCGGGAGTCCCCCAAACCAGTCGAGGCTGTCAGGGAGTTGGTGTGATTCTTTCATCTCGAATGGTTGAATGTGTGATGGAGCATGAATGTATAAGCCCAAGACTCCTCTGGATTAGGTTAAAAGTCGGACTCACTCGCTTGTTTATCCTTGGGGTCTATGCACCAACGGATCTGCGTGGAGGTGGGTCCATAAAAACACAACAAGAGAGAGAGGAATTTTGGGATAGCATGAGAGAGGTCTTGAATAAATGCGGAGAAAATGAACGGATCGTGATGTTAGGGGACTTTAATGGATGGGTTGGAGTAAAGCGTGATGGGTATGAAGGAGTTCTGGGTACGTTTGGGGACGAGAGAGTGAATGACAATGGGAGAAGCCTGCTTGAAGTATGCTTGGAATGGAATCTGTGCGTGGCCAACACAATGTTTGACCACAAAAAGATCCATTTGTATACAAGAGATGAGGGTGAGTCTAGAAGTATGATTGATTTTGTAATTGTGGATGAAAGACTGAGGAAGAAAGTGCTAGACACTCGGGCATACCGCGGTGTAGGCCTCGACACAGACCACTTCCTGGTCATAGCCCGAATGCGTGGCCTCTTTAAACGGTGGCGACACCGAGTGGCCGAGCCTACGAGTGTTTTGGACAGAGTAAAAGTGGAAAATCTACAAGAAGAAGAAAAGAAAGACGAGTATGTAGAGAAACTGAAAGAAAGTTTTAAAGGGATAGAAGAGATAGGAGTGATTGAAGATTTGTGGGAGACATTTAAGAAAGGGGTCGTAAATGTTGCTATCGAGGTATGCGGGGTACCTAAAAGAAGGAAAGGAAGAAAGAATGATAACGTGTGGATGGATAAAGATGTACAAAAGGTTGTGCAAGAAAAGAAGAAAGCGTGGTTGGATTGGTTAGCAACAAAAGCTAACCAAAAAGTTCAAAAGGCAACGGATGACGAGATAAAGGAAGCAAGAACGAAGTATAAAAGATTGAAAACAGCAGCGAAAGAAATTGTGTCTAGAAAGAAAGAAGAACGAAAGGATGATTTCGATAGGAGGCTCACTGAAGATTTCCAGTCAAACATTAAGTTTTTCTGGAAAACCATCAAAACAGCCAGAGGAAAAACTTCTACCTCTGAGCTGAGTACAATCAGGAGTCAAGATGGGAGCATTATAAAAGGAGAAGAATGTGTGTTAAAGAGATGGAAAGAGTATTTTGAAAGTTTGTTTGAAAGAGAGGAAGTGCAGGTACAGCATCTGCCACCTTCCACGGAAACTAATATAAATGTTGATGAAAATGAGATAAGCATGGATGAAATAGTGAAAGCGTTGAAAAGTATGAGATTAGGTAAGGCTGCAGGGTATGACAGTATTACCGTCGAGATGCTGAGGGCTGGACAGGGCCTGGTGGCTAGTCAGCTGTACCGCCTTTTCAATCTGTGCTGGCGAAATGGGCAAGTACCGGGAGACTGGTGCAAAGCCGTAATCGTGCCATTGTATAAGGGAAAAGGGTCACGGCAGGACTGCATAAATTACCGCGGTATAAGCCTTCTCAGCGTCGTCGGTAAATTGTATGCGAAAGTGTTGATTGAAAGGATTGTGAATGAAACAGACAAGAAAGTATGGGACGCACAAGCGGGATTTAGAAAGGGAATGGGATGTACGGATCAGGTCTTTTCCTTGCGGTGCATAGCCGAAAAGTATTTGGCTAAAAACAAGAAAGTCTACTGCGCGTTCGTAGATCTAGAAAAGGCCTATGATAGAGTGGTGAGGAATGAATTGTGGTCAGCACTGTCCGTGAACGGTGTGAGCAGTATCCTCATACGAGCAATGCAATCTCTTTATAGGGATTCTAGTGCTTGTGTAAGGATAAACGGGGCATACACTGAATGGTTTAATATCGAAAAAGGTGTTAGACAGGGATGTGTAGCGTCACCGTGGCTGTTTAATCTGTTCATGGACAATTGTTTGACAGATTTAAAAGAAAATGAAAGTGGGTTGAGAATGAATGAGTTACTCGTCAAATGTTTTCTCTATGCTGATGACCAAGTATTACTTGCGTCTTCGGCCGAGGAGTTGCAGGAGATGGTAACTGCTATGAGTGGAGCTTTTGTTAGAAAGGGAATGAAGATGAATGTAAGGAAGACGAAAGTGATGGTGTTTGAAAAAGATGAGGCAGTGACAGACTGCAATATCGTGATTGAAGATGAACAAATTGAACAGGTGAAAGAGTTTGTGTATCTGGGTTCAAAGTTTACAAGAGATGGAAAGTGTGAGAGTGATATCGAAAGAAGAGTGAATGCAGGAAACATGGTGAATGGAGCTTTGCACTCCTTTATGAGCAGTCGGAAGGTGTCTAACAAGGCTCGTTTGGCTGTGCATGAGGGGGTGTTGGTTCCGACACTCATGTACGGAAGTGAAACTTGGGTATGGCAGAAGAAACATGAAAGCAGAATAAATGCAGTTGAGATGAGAGCATTAAGAAGTATGATAGGAGTTAAACTGAGTGACAGGCTAAGAAATAGTGAGGTAAGGAAACGTTGTGGTCTGAAAGAAGATGTAGTGACAAAAATTGAGAAAGGTATGCTGAGATGGTTTGGCCATGTCGAGAGAATGAATGAAGAACGATTGACGAAAAAAGTGTATAAGGCGAGTGTGAATGAAAGTGTTGGAAGGGGTAGACCTAGGCGGACATTTCTAGACCAAATCAGGGACGTCTTGAAAAAAGGCCAGGTCAAGAGTACCCTAAACCGTAGAGCATGTATGAAGGGAATAATGAAAGTGGACGAAGCAAAACAAGTATGTAAGGATCGTAGCAAGTGGAAAGAACTGGTCTCTGCCTACCCCTACGGGAAAGAGGCGTGATTATATGATGATGATGATGATGATTTAAAAGAAAGACACAGTCAAGCAACAGTTCGTGGCCTGGAATTAACAATTAGTAATTTGAATAATTTAGTATACTTTGTATTTTATTCAACTTCAAAAGAGGGGGAGAATAAATAATAATAATAATTTAATTGTCAAGATAAGTTTGCCCATTTTAAATAAAGACCCGACTTCAAAATTTATTAAATTATGTAGCAATTATTTTATTCTTGTTTTGGTTTCACGTTTTGATTTTTTACCTTTATTAAAGTTTACTTATTTGTGCTAAGGTCATTTGTCGCTTTCTCTATTGTCCGGGAGTTCTGATATTCGAAATTTTTCCGTGCGGTTTATATATTTCTTAATTTGATTAATAATTACTTTACATCGTAGATGATTCAGTTTTTTCAATGCCAGTGGTTTTTACAAACTAAATTGAATTGTAAACTTGAACCATAAGGATAAATTCTATCTTTATTACAAGATCAAAATGAGTTATGTTCAAAATATACGTTGCTTTATTAATTGATTTCTCACAATGTGATTGTACACAGCTTAAAAAAATACACATAAATGCTGTGCGGGGGACTGGTGCCCATACTAGGAACAAACCTGTAGTATGGATTACCAGCCCTCCATCCCACGAATGAATACAATCTCTATGGAAATACAGATAGAATGTCTGAAATTGTTTGTGTACATTTGTGTTATGTTAAAAAAAGATGGTTAGAGCTTATATACGTCCCGATGTTAGACACAGGCCTCCCCACATTGCTTGAACCATAAGGTTAAATTCTGGCATGTTATCACCGAAAATTACAAATTTTTAACTCGTCTTATTGTAAATTCTAGATTGTGTCAACATAATTTAATTGCTTTTGTTTAATTTTAATTTTATTTATTTAGTTATATTAGACCTTATTTTATCACATTTATAAATATAACAAAGTTCGATCTCAATGCCTCATCATCACCTTCATTACAGCCTGTCACTAGTCTACTGCTGAACATAGGTCTTCTTGGATTAATTAGTATTACACTATATCAGGCCAGCACCAGAAACTCCTTTCGAGGCTAGCCGGAAGCAGCATATGAGTTCGTGCACACAGCAAAAGCAGTTTCACGTCTCGTCTCGTAATTAATGAATTTAATAATCCTTCTTTATTGAGATAATGGGGCCATAAAGAAAATGGCAAACCATATTAAACTTGATTATACTGACTTCTCAGTTACACAGTGCAAACACTCGAATAAATATGTTGCATTTAGTTGCAGAGTTGTCTAATTATCTAGTCAGAGCTGATTACTATAGACCGCAAGTGAATACAGTGCCGGCGAAGAGACGCCTGAGTCTGCTAATGCTAAATCATATTCGCGATGTCAGTAATTAGAATTTATGTAAGTGTCATGGAAGAGGAATTTATCTAAGTAACCAGAAAGTATTCCACCAATTTTGGGTGTTTTTTTTTTATAAAATTGAAGCGACAAAGGGACTTAAAGTCCATCTGTTGGCTTCCGCATTGGACATCTTTGTCCTACTATAACCTAATAACTCTTAGCCAGTACTTATACTGGCTCTCTTTACGTATACTGTCTTTTATTCACTTGCGATACGCGCGGTGCTAGTTCTTCTTATTTTTTTTAGTCCGTAATGGTACTGGCTCTCCGTACCCTTCACACCAGAATCCGGATAGCGGTGCAAGCAATGCTACTTTGCGGCAGAGATAGGTAACAGTGTGGTGCCAACTCAGATAGAATATTAGGCAAAAAAAGAGTCACCTCAGTCCTCAGTCTGGCATTTAATACAATATGCCGAGTATGTTCTTAAACTGTTTTAATATACCTAATGTTAATATAGATATACATATAGCTTTAAAAAAGTTGCAATAGCTACAAAGTAGTAATATATAATGTATATATGTAATGTGATATTGTCTTTTCAGAATACTACGGAATTTATTTGGTGGATCTAAAATTTTGCCGCTTTTATATTTACCTAGCTGGATGAATTTAGCGGGATATATCGGCGGAATCGCCACGGCTTTTATATTCTATTATAACCAAGCTCATGGTATAAAATTAGCCGATAATAAGGTAACGTGTTGACTGCAACCTATACATATAAATTAAATTTAAGTGTGTGTCTGTAATATCGAAATAACTGCCTTTTATTTAACTGTGGGATTATTTGCACGCTATTAAGACATGAGTGACAAGTTTTAAAATTTTTGTTTTTCTGTCTATCTGTCTGTACCCGAGCTGATTCTTTGTATAGATGAACCAATTTTAATAAAACTTATTTATTTTATTGAAACTTATAATGAACAGATAGAGAGCAATGCCAGGATTGGTCTGGGCTATATTGATATGGTTTATCAGAGAACCTTGGAATTTTTTTAATTAGAAAAATTGATTAGTTGAAATAAATAGTTTGTGATGATTATCTTCGTCACATTATTAGATCCTACCCTATAAAATTATATAATATATTACTGATATCCGGAGATGGGCAGTAAAACCTTCTTGATAATATCCCAAAATATCAATTACAAGATCAAAAGGAATTATGTTCATAATATACGTTGCTTTATTAATTTATTTCTCACAATCTGATTGTACACAGCTTATAAAAACAAATGATGTACCGTGCGCGCGCACGGGTGTGTGTGTGTGTGTGTGTGTGTGTGTGTGTGTGTGTGTGTGTGTGTGTGTGTGTTCGGTTCGGAGTGAAAGCAATAGCACCACCTAGCGGAAAGAGCAGAACAACTTCTTGGACCAGCTTGTTATTTTATAAAATAAAATGGCTTTGCGACACATATTCCTGTTACACCCCATAAAAAGATTCACTGCTGAACATAAGTTTTTCTATTGGATTACTTTGCACGCGAGATTTTGCCATAGATTCCACGCTTAGCAGGGTTTAGCAATGGCACTTTCTTATTGTTGCACGCCTCATAACGCGAAGCGTTATTGGGTAGTGTATTTACTGTGGACAAGTCAAGGTCAAGCAACTTTAAGGTCTTCAAATGCCTCAATCATAACCATATTGCACTTATACGATAATATGAGCAGCCGTATATCAAGGAAATGCTCTAATTTAACCATCTTATAGTTCCTAAAAAGTCATTTTATATTGCTACTTTGATAAAAACGGCTTGAAAAAAAAATTACGTGGACGTCCGGATGTTGATTTTGTATGTGGTCACGATAACTCCCGAAAACATTGACGTATCGAGACCACGTTCTTTATTATTGGCTTCAGAATTACGTTTACCCTATTTCATATCAATAGCTTAGTACGCGTAGTCACTTAATAAAATGATTTTCAAGTTTCACCATACCGTTCTCTAATCACCGTTTTCATTTTTCTCAGACACGTTTCTTCACAATGTTTTCCTTCACCGCCGAGCACGTGGTAATCAGCTATTAAAATTGCATTTAACAATTTCATTGGTGCCGACGGGGATCCAACCGGAGTTGCTCGCGTACTGTGAAGTTTACAGCGAGCGTTAAGCCCCTGAGCTACCACGGCTCACCTGGCTACTCAATATTAGTATGTGTTATTTTCTCTCAAGTAATCTGCTTTTGGTATAATTTATATCTTCAGCCATTCAATATTTTGTTCCACGCGTCTCTTACTTTGGGAGGATGCGTGGTGATGATGGGGGTGGTGTTCCTGGCGGACATACCGCCGCCTCAGTGGCTGTCGGCGCTCTACGCGGCATTGGACAGAACTTTAGTGGCGATATGTTTTAACATATTCATGTTGGGCTGCTTCAGTCGGTGTAAATGTGAGTATAGAGCAGAAGTTACCAAACATTTAGGGTGACGGAACACTCGGCAAATACCTGTTATTTTATGGAACTCCACATCAAATGATTACATATCGTAGACAGTGCAATTGCAATATTATAATATAGTTCTCGCTAACTACCTACGTATCTATATAACAGTAATCGGTTCTTCTGACCACATACATATATACGTGGTAGAGCCATGCTGCTGCTATATTAATAGTATAGTTGTAGCACGAATGGGTCTCAGAAAATACCAGCACGCTTTCACAGAATACCAGCGTTAAATAGCAGCTTAATGCTGCTGTGTTTCGTATGGTGAGTGTAGAGAACCGGAGACCCTTTTTACTGGAAACGAGGCATTCCATCTTAGTCCTCACGGCTGACAACGCATCTGCATTTTAATTCGCAAACGAAGATAGATGTAGATGTCTATGGGCAACAGCTTCGACTTACCATCAGGTAAACTGAGTGCTCGTTTGTCACCCTCATTCTATAAATAAATATTTTGCGTCAATCCAAAATCATTTTTGTGTACCAGTGTGAAATTATTTAACACACAGAATAAATTATTTCGCCTGGTGATTTTTCCACGAATCCTTATTTAGTAATCTCTGGTAGGGAGCACTATTTGCTTTTTTGGCCGAGTTCAAAAAACGATGAGAGAGGTGCTATATTCGTATTCGATGCGATGATTTCTCGGAAATAGCTGAGTTGATTTTAACTATTCTTCTTATAATAGACAGGTATCAAGGTTTACGTATTGAGACACTGGTGCATGTCCGGTGTTTTCCTTATATTTCATATAATTTTTCCTAATTTTAGTGTCCTTAAGTGAAAGTCAAATATTTTTGATCAAAATTGGCCTTTATGAAGCACCTTTTGAAAGTCAAAAGCTACGCAATCGCTTCAACAACGTCCTACTGCGGGGAGAACTTGAGTGCAAAACGGCAAGAAACTATAAAGTGGACTATTTTTCTCCCAACAGTTACAATATTTTTTACGACTCCGTGGCGCAGTGGCTTAGTAATAAATTAATAATAATAAAAGCAAAGAAGGTAAGAGTAATTGTTCCGGGTGTGGATGTATGTCCTTGTGCAGTTTATGTTTGTAAACTGCCTCCACAGGAGAAAATCGTAGTGTGGGGGGTAACGTTTTTAAAAAAATTACCTTACACAACATATTATGTAAGTGAAAATGAATTCATATCTTTTAAATAGTCATCTAAATTTAGTTACCTTTTTTATATACGAATGCTTTTACGTTTCTTCTTTCTTTTTAAAAAGTTTATTGTGTTTTCTCATTCTAGCTCTATTCCGCGACCTGTTAGAGTGGAGAGGCTTTCATCTCCTCGGAAGGCTGTCGTATTGTGCCTATGTAATTCACTTCATCATTCTTCGCCTCACGCTCGCCAGCAACACGCAGTTGGGTCATGCGTCTGTACTTTCCATGGTAAGTTATAAAAATAATGTTCAAAATAGGCGTTAAAATTAAATAAAACGAACGCTTAATGAATCACCTGTCGGACAATTTATCCACGTAGATGATTGACATTTGGTATGATTGTAAAATGCGATTACCAAATAACAGACGATCGTCATCATCATTACAGGCTAAAAGTAACCTCTGCTGAACATAAGCCTACTCTTCCGTAGTTTACTAGGAGGGGGGAGGTGTTGGAGGAGGAGAAATACCCGAAAAAACATACTTCCATACTAAAATTCATAATATGCGTTAGATAATAATTAATTGATAATCCTATTTCATTAAATCAAGTCAAGTCAAGATTTTCAATTTGGCCGATGATTCTAATACATTTCTTTTGCAGTATAAATAGATTCTGAAAGTGTACACTATTTCCCCACAACATAATGCCATATCTTAACCAGGAGTATGCATATGCGTAGTATGCTGACAGTGCGGTTCTTTCGTTTGTGCTGCATTTAAGTTGGAATAGAGCGTATGTGAATTGATTTTTTTTTAATATGTTCGATGTTTGGTTTACAGTTGACGTGCGTGTCGTGTCTGTATGTTGTGTCGATGTTTATGGGGGTGTTTTTGTATGTTTTAAATTGTATGGTTTTTGTTTTGTTATAGTTAATTTCTAAGTTATGGTCGTTGAGCCAGCGATTTATTGTGTCTAAAGTTTCTCGAAGTATTTGTGTTGGGTTTTTGGTTTTGTCATAAGCAATCAATATTGATATATCATCAGCTAATAAGACGGGCAATGTTTGTTCTTTATTTAGTACTTTTGGCAAGTCGTTAATGTATATCAGAAATAATACACAACCTAACACGCTGCCCTGTGGAATTGAACATTTTATGCTCGTTTTCTCAGATCTCAGTATTTTAACCTCATTTGTGTTGGAGTCGAAATGGTCAATTTGCACTATTTGTGATCTATTTTCCAAATATGATTTAAACCATGTGTAAGCTGGACCGCGAATACCAAAACCGTAAAAAAAGTAAAAGAATGTCGTACAGTACTTTATCATATGCTTTCGTCATGTCAAGTAATACTCCCAGTACATATTTCTTGTCATTTATATGCTTTAGGGCAGTCTGGATATACTTATATACTGCTAGTGTAGTTGATATTGATTTCCTAAAGCCGTTTTGGCTGTCATCGAGGATGTTATATTTTTCTAAATAATTACAGATTATATATCTGATACACATTGTTTTTTTAAACACTTTCGAAATCGTGGGTAATAGAGCTATAGGTCTACAGTTACTAGGGGTGTAAGTGTCGCCCTTTTTGTGTATCGGTTTGATCAATGATATTTTTAGGGGACCTGGAAATAGGCCATCTCGGAGACTGATTCACTAGGAATGTGAGCGGTATTGACAGTTTTTCTGCACATTGTTTTAGTAGAATTGGAGGGATCTCATCTATGCCGTAGTTGTGTGTATTTTTAATTGAGCGGATTATGTCGATTATTTCTTTTCTGTCTACAGGACGCAAGTACATGGAACACATTTGTGAGTTTACGACGGGTCGACCTAGCGCATTGTTTTTGTTGGTGTTATTCGTGTCCATACCTACAGTAGCAAAATACTCGCTGAAATTATTGCAAATAGTTGTTGGGAACTTTATAATGTGGTTGTTAATTTTTAATGAAATATTTTGTGGAGGGAGTCGTTTTCGTTTACCTGTTTTTCCTCTTATGATATTCCACATTGCTTTTGTTTTATTGTCGGAGTTTTCCATTTGTTCACTAAACTCGAGTTTTTTTAGATATTTTTACACTACGTTTTAGAGTTAGGTTATATTTTTTATAAAATTTATGTAATACTCGTATGTCATTTTCAGTCACAATTAGGAAAGCCCTTAATTTTCTTGAGTCATCCTTTTTTGGTTTATTATTTATTTTTAATTTTTGCATCGGTATATGTTTGTTGAGTAATTTAGTCAGTATACTGATAAATAAATCATAATCTGTGCTTAAATTGTTATGTGTGTTAATTATTTCGTGCCATTGTATGTCATTTAATGATGTGTTAAAATTAAATATGTTTTTTTTCGTGAATAATCGTTTTTGTATGTAGCACGTTATATTATTATTATGATGAAACTATTTCGATTTTATTTTTAATGTAATACCTAGTCCGTAGAGGCGGTAGTCTTGGACGCTGGCTTTACTAATAAGGGGCATGTAGTTTGTGAAGAGTAAATCAATACAGGTCGAGGAACTTTTTGAAACTCGCGTTGGTTCTTTAATAATATGCAGACAGGCGATGGACAGCAGGGTCATCACTCCACTCGACAAGCAGACGATTAAGGCAAATTCTCTACAAAGGGATGGGCTCCGCAGTGGACTTTAGTGCTGATGAATAAAAAAATAAGTTTTTTGAAAGGAACGGATTTTGTCGCGTTTGATTAACTTACTTTTTATTCCCAACATTTTGAGTACTTTGTAGCGCCCAAACGCGGTCACGGTCAAATATATGTATTATATTTTTATGGTAGAGCCACGCTCCAACTATATTATGGGTCGGCTCGACCGTGTAAGGACCACGCTCTCACAGGATACCAGCGTAAAATAGCAGCTAAATGCTGTTGCGTTTCGTATGGTGAGTGTAAAGAACGGGAGACCCTTTTTACTAACGAGGTATTCCATCTTAGTTTACTGCTAAGGATTTATTTTAGTATATTTACGAAAATTTAATGTATGTTCACAAAAACAAAGGTAGTTTTAGTAAAAAAAGTGATATACATTCTATAAACACTAGGAAGAAACACAAGCTAGTGATACCAGTTTCTCGACTCCACAGAGTCAGTAATTCATTCTTGGGGCAATGTATACGCTATTACAACAAGGTCCCGGAAAGTGTACAGGCTCTCTTTATTACCAAGTTTAAATGTTTTGTTAAGCTGAAACTGTATAAAAAGGGTTATTATAGTATAAATGAATACATGGTTGATAATAACCGCTGGGAATGAGGTGGTCGCTTCCAAGCAGTTTATAAAATAAATTGTGTAAATAGTTTGTAATCATTTATATTGTAAAATTTATTTAAAAAAAAAGGTCCCGCTGGGTTGCTTGCTGGTTCTTCCCAAGACAGAGGGTTTTTTTCGAACCAGTGGTAAAGTAAAGAATGACTTTCAATAAGAATTACACATGTAATGTATATTGAATAAAATATTATTCTATTCTATTCTATTTTAGTCCTCACAAGGTGACAACGCATCCGCATTTTGATTCCTAATTGAGGATAAATGTAGATGTCTATGGGCCATACTATCCACTTGCCACCATAAGGACTGTGCGCTCGTTTTTAATTCTTAATCTAAAAAAAATTCACGGGAGTACTTAATTTGACACAACTAGTCATGTGAAAGAAATTTATTTTTTTATTTTATTAATTAAAAGCGATAAAATCAGTAAAAAACTAGTTTCGTTCAATGTGTATCGTTCATGTAAATTTAAGAAACCACTATGAAGTTTCATACTAATATTTTTTAATTTGCAGGTATCGCTTCTGATAACAGCATCAGTGTTAACATACATAGTGTCAATTCCCTTGTGTCTTATGGTGGAGTTACCCATGATACAGCTGTGGAAAGCCATAATGGGAGTCGAGACAAGTGTAAGGACCTCGCCCATCGTTCCACCTCCACAGGAAACGGCACCAACTCCGCAGAAATTTGATTTAGTTGCGCATATTATGAGACCTAACGTGGTTTAATATTTATTAATACTAGCAATTAAAAAGAGAACTGTGAAGAATAATGTAATTTAATGTAATTTAACTAGAGACCACAGGTTATTCACATTGGTAATAAACTAAGATCAATACTTTGTAACTTAACAATACTTAAGTGTACAATTTAGCAAACTTTGGGACTTTTATATTTGGAGTTAGTAAATTTAACAATAAATTATGTACAGAGTAGCTATGGTAGAAATTATAAAACTTAAATACAAGAAATTTATAAAATAAAACTAAAAATCGTAAAAGCAGTAGTTCCTAACTATGTTAAGCAACTGTACAGACATGGTGATTTAAACATATTTAAATATTGTAAAACATTAAATGTATATAAAGAAATTAAATTGACAGTCTTATGTGTAGGTGAGTAGGTACATTAAAAATATTTAGTGGACCTAGGAACAGCTTACCTACGTTGATGCTTTGAATTTTGATTTTTTGATTTGAAATTTGTATTAAACTTACAAAAATTTTTATGGCAAGCGCGCTTGAGAATACCTGCTCCCCTCTCTACTTAACGAGTTTCCACTGACTTTTTTAAATAAAGTGAAAGATTATAAAGTCAGAATAGCTAAAAGAATTCTAAAAGAGTTTCTAATCAAATAACTAGGTGGTCAGTATAATATGTTTTGTGTATATACTATAGTATGTTGTAGATATTATTATAGGTTTGTATAATATATTAATAGTATATTAGATGATAAGATAATTTACTGTATATTGCATGACCCTAAGACCATGAAACTGCACATTCGATATGTCGATGCTGAGGATTTCGATGCTAGCTGAGGCAGCAAGGGCAGTGCCTTGAAAATGAGGAGATACGACGAAGGGGTTCTTTTTAGCGGTTAACGCGCATACTTATGTCTTCTAGGGATTCGAAACTTTGTTCAGCAAAGACTCGCCTTAGACACAAGTTTGTTCCGGTACTCGGCGACGTTTTCCCGAAAAATATTGGCACGGCCGGTGTATAATGCATCACCAGTGCTATCGTCTGCATAGCAATGAATGTTACCAGTTCGTAAATATCATTGATATGCAAAAGAAACAACTTTGGTGATAGCACGCAGCCTTGTGGAATAGCAGCGTTAGTAGGCTTGTAATCAGAGCATGCACCGACTACCACAACCTTGATGCTCCGATCAGCAAGGAAACTGGTGACCCATTTGCACAATTTCTTGGGAAGCCCATAGGAAGGAAGCTTCGAAAGAAGCGCCTTGTGCCAGACCCAATCAAAGGTCTTCGCTATATCCAAACTCACGGCCAATGCCTCCCCCTTAGACTCTACTGCCTCCACCTATCTATAAGTCAGGTAGATCAAAAGATGACCAGTCGATCGGCCCCAACCAAAAATCGTATTGGTGGTCACTAATCAGCTGGTGATCCTCGAAGTCCAAAGCTCCAAAAATCGGTTGGACCAAAGCTGTCTTCCATGAATTCGGGACTACGCTTTGGGACAATGAGTACCGGAAAAGACGCGTTAAAACCGGTGCCAACTCCGGGGCACACGTCTTCAGCACAATGGGAGGGACTCCATCAGGCCCACTTGACTTGCTGACGTCCAGGGAGAGGAGTACTTTGCGAACCGAGCGCTGTGTAAACCGTAGATCCAGCGTGGAACTTTCATACTACGGGCTGGTTGGCGGTGCGTTCCCCCTGTCATCGAGTTAGACGCAAAGAGAGAGCCTAACAGATCGGTTTTCTCCTTAGCGGTATGGGCCAGTGAGTCGTCCTCTCTGTGCAGAGATGGAAGAAATGGCTGACAGAAGTTCCCTTGGATAGCCTTGGTGAAAGACCAGAATGCACGGGTTCCCGAAGTAAGGTGAACTAGCTTCTCGCCAATTTTGTCGATGTGCTCAGACCTTGCCTTGGCAATGACGCTTTTGAAGGACCCAGAGGCGGAATTATACTTCCTTTTAAGAGCACTGGTGCTTCCTGAGACATTGATGCGTCAGCCCAGGCGCGGTAGCACTCCTGCATAAGCAGTGCTATTTTACAGGAGCGACCAAACCATGGCTGGGATCTGCCTCCGAGCTGCCAGAAGACAACCGCGGGCGTTCCTGTGGCACCACACTCTGGACAAGACAATGGCCCGACAAGCCTAAGGGAGTGTCAACAGAAACCTGATATCCGTCCGGATGAGAGCTCAGCAAAAGTTCCAACAGATGATCCTCTACATCTGGAATCCGCGTAGGCGAAGTAACCAGCTGTGTAAGACTATATGCCAAGAAAGTCATAAACAGATCTCCCCGCATGATCGGTTGAACGTGAATCGAGCCATTCGTCGTGGTGGCCGTTAAAATCGCCAATGGGATCTGCTGTAACAAGGAATCTGTAGCCATTTGGACGTGGCCGATGAGTCGGTCTGTTTCGGAGTTACCGCTATGGGACCTATAGAGGCACTCGTAGACGCGGAGATGGTGGTTGCTGTCTACGCGCAGCCATAGGATGGACAAGTCCGTACTTTCAAGACTGCCGAGGTATCGACAACAGATGTCCCCTATGACGTATATGCAAACTCCAGCCCACGGGCACAAAGGAGTGTTCTGATTTGTACCCCGGGTAGGAGAGATATGAAGTATCAGCTGGAGAGGACACCTGAGTCACCAGTTTCATCGTCTCCAGACGGAAGTGGACAGCGACTATTTTACCATTAGTAATTTATAGTTCATAGACCATAGCAATTAAACCATGTGTGGTTTCTGCTGCAGGGATTAATATTTTTATTTTTGTGTATCAGTTTGTTTTTTAAAATATTTTGAATAAATAAATAAATACGTGATAGTGCTATATTTTTGTAAATAAAAATATAGTTCCGTATACAATAAAAAAATAGAATAGTGATTTGTTAAATAAAACAATGGAAGAAATCAAAAATAGGTAAACGGGTTATAACGGCGATTGAAAATTAATGTCGTTTATTGATTGAATCCAGTAATGCACGTGGTAGAGCCATGCTGCAGCTATATTAATAGTATAGTTGTAGCACGAATGGGTCGGCTCGACCGGGGAAGGACCACGCTCTCACAAAATACCAGCGTAAAATAGCAGCTTAACACTGCTGTGTTTCGTATGGTGAGTGTAGAGAACCGGCGACCCTTTTTTTTTGGAAAAGAGGCATTCCATCTTAGTCCTCACGGGTGACAACGCATCTGCATTTTGATTCTTTATTGAGGATAGATGTGGATGTCTATGGGTCACAGCAACCACTTACCATTAGGTGAACTGTGTGCTCGTTTGTCACCCTATCCTATAAAAAAAATGCTAAAGCATTAATATATACATGTAGTTAGGTGAAATCGAGTTTCAAAATATAAATGCAAATTGCATATAAATTAAATACAAATTTAAAATAAAAAAAATATAATTTATTGGGTGTTTTATAAAGAGATGGCGCTTTTATGTGCATCATAAAAGTCCTTAGAGTGATTTTTTTTATAGGATTGGGTGACAAACGAGCACATAGTCCAGTTGATGGTAAGTGGTTACTGTGACCCATAGACATCTACATCTCCTCAATAAAGACTCAAGATGCAGATGCGTTGTCACCCGTGAGGACTAAGATGGAATGCCTCTTTGCCATTAAAAAGGGTCTCCGGTTCTCTACACTCACCATACGAAACACAGCAGCGTTAAGCTGCTATTTTACGCTGGTATTCTGTGAGAGCGTGGTCCTTCCCCGGTCGAGCCGACCCATTCGTGCTACAACCATAATATAGCTGCAGCATGGCTCTACCACGTAGAATGATGCGTGCAAGTAGTTTATTTCGAATAACATAAAGTTATTAATAATCCCAGTATAAACAAAAAGTATGCATATAAAAACCTGATTCTGGTCAATTAGTTTAGTCTTAATTTATGTGTCAATAGTGTGTAAAAATTATTGTAAATAATTTTAATAAAAGCCTGAAATTTTTATGTGACTTATTAATTGTATGTTATTCGTTGTGCAGCAAACCATAGTTAACGAATAGTAAAATATCATAAATAAATAAATTTATATTTGTTTGTTCGTATTTTATGCGCAGCCATGTCGTTCATCAGATTGAGGTAAAGCTTTTACTTGTACGAAAGTAGTAGGCATAGTACAATCACAGAGTAAAGAGTAAAGACCAGAGGGGAAGCTTTCTAACAATGTCGAATATCTATACCTATTCTGATAGGGTTATCACCTGACGCATGTGAAAATTTTAAGGAAAAAATAAAAATATTATATAGTATAAAACAACATGTGTATTCATTGTAACTTAAGTTAATATAATAACATGTCTGTTATTTGTAATTAAAATTGAAACTGCAAAAATTCTATATTTTGCTTATTTTCATGCTTAGCTTTACATTACATATACATATCTATATTTCTATCAATATTATTTTCGTAAGACAACGTATTCGTGAGTACAAAAAATCAGGTGACAGTAGTAATGATTGTGATGATAGTAGTGGGCAGTGGCGGTGGTGGTGGTGTTGATACACCACCACCTCCAATTTTACTACCAGGATGATGGTGGCGATACTAAGGGCTGTGGTGGTGATGCTGGTCGTGTGTGTGTGTGTGTGTGTGTGTGTATGTGTGTGTGTGTGTGTCGAGTGGTGGTCTACTGTCCACCACCACCACCAATGATACCGACAGCACCACCACAATCACTGACACTATTACCAGCATAATCTGCACCACCATCCACCGCCACCAACATCGCACGATCAGCACCACCGTCCACCATTATCATCACCAGCACTAACACTAACTGCACCACTGTCTGGCTATTGTATTATTTTCTCTCTAATTTTTCATACATACTGTACAACTTAGGCATTTAACTTATACGAATACTAATTATCTAATATAAATATATATAAATCTATAATGTCTTATTTTATAGTATACACTCTCTAAATTTAACTCTAAGTGTAAAAAAAAAATATAAATTTATTAATCTATAAAATCACAAAATATTATTCATCTATTTATTTCA